TTTCTTTTCTTTCTTTCTTTCTTTCTTCCTTTCCTTTCTTTTCTTTCTCCCTTTCTTTTCTTTCTTTCTTTCCTTTCTTCCTTTCTTTTCTTTTCCTTTTCTTTCTTTCTTTCTTCCTTCCTTCCCTTCCTTCCTTCCTTCCTTCCTTTCTTTCTTTCTTTCTTTCTTTCTTTCTTTCTTTCTTTCTTTCTATGTTTTTGTTTTTTCGAGACAGGGTTTCTCAGTGTAGCCCTGGCTGTCCTGGAACACAATCTGTAGACCTGGCTGGCCTTGAACTCATGGAGATTGCCTGCCCCTGCCTTCCCAGTGCTGGGATTAAAGGCGTGTGCCACCACTTCCCTGCTCTCCAGCTAGATTTCTAACCCAGCCAATAATTTGCCATAGGCTGATCTACAACCTGGCCCCCATTTACCTTCAGCTTTTCCTTTGCCATTGAGTCAGCATCAAACCTACACAAATACTTTTCATTTATAAAAAGTCAGATCATTCTTCTACCCTGCCACCTAATAATGCTAATTTTCCTGCCCCTGCTTGCCTGTTATTCAACTCTGATCTTTTAGACTTTCGCCCCTTCCATAAGTGACCCCATATTACCACATTGCTCTTTTTTTAAAAAAATGTCCTCTACCATAAACCCTTGTGCAGCATTTGACAGTGTCAGTCATTACCTCTGTTCATTCATTCATTATTATATATTGAACATTTACCATAAATTTTGTATTATGGGCTTTTAAGGATCTGGGTATATGGTGATAAAGACCTTCTTACAGTGGGTTTTCCCAGGCACACAAATGGAGTGTAAGTCATTTATTGGAGACATGAACACTGAAGATTTTAGTATGGAACTCAAGAATGGGCAGGTGGGAACGGGAAACCAACAGAGGAACACTCATGAATGCTGTGGATAACTTGGCTCAGTCCTGTAACAACAGCTTGGTGATGACAGCAAACAGCCTCAGCTGCCTCCAGTAGGTGAGGAAGATGGGTTATTACTCTACCAAGTCTCACCTGTGATGACCTTTCCCAGCATCCCCTTCTGACTCTTGTAACGGCAAGATTGCTAGGAGAAACTTCGGACAGAAAACTGCAGATGCTGGCAGTTCGGTGCCCTTGGTATTTATGGTAATGGGCTATGTTAGGGACACTGGCAGGTTATGCTCCACAGACAAGGCTGCCCCCTCTCCTGTCCCCATGGAAATTTCAGAGGTGGATAGTAAAAGACAAGCAATGTAATTTCAGACAGGGACACACGCTGTGAAGAAAATGCAGCTCTGTAATAGGATGGCGCTCTGTGCCTTTGTGGGTTGAGTGGTGCCCCTCCCACACTTGAAGTTTTAGTGTGCAAAGCCTCCCTACAGAAGTAAGTTAAAGTGAAACCATCAAAGTGAGTTTTACTCCAGTAAGAGTCATAGCCTTATAAAGGTGGGGGGCGGAATGGGCATTTGGACAGAGGATCCGGAGGACGGAATCTCACAGGAAAGGATACAGGGGGAAGTCAGCCAATGTGCAAACCACCGAGAGCCTGCAAGAGACTCTTGCTTGCCACCCTTAGAGAGAAACGAACCTTGATCTCAGATTTCTCTTCACTTGTGAGACACTTAGTGTCTGCTGTTTAAGCCTCCTAGGGGGAGAAACTTCACTAACAAGGGCACTACGCAGCTGCACGTCTGTTGATATGATGGGGTGGCCAGGAAAGGCCCCTCCATGGAGGCAGCACCCACTGAAATACAGTGCCAGTCCATGGTAGCCCTGAGGAAGATCACTTGCCATGGAGGGATAGCAAAGCCAAGGGCCATGGGAAGAATTTGGGGTATTCAAACAATAGTGAGTGGTTACTGCAGCTGGGTCTAGGGATTGTGAGAGGGAATGGTCCAGGGTGAGGTGTAAGAGCCTGGCAGGAACCATATGCTATGCCACAGAAGGAATTCGGGGGTTAAGCCGAGAAATCATAGGATCTTCCGTGTGCTTTAATGAGCACCCTTCCCAGGTAAGCGAGGGGACGGGATCGGAACAGGAGACCACTGAAGAGTCTGTCGCCATGCCGTGTCCAGGGCAGAGATGTCAGGCTCGGAGGTCAGGTTGAAAGTACCAATGGAAGGGGAAAGGGGAGTGAACAAATTCCGATGTTATTAGGAACTGATAAGAAGCCCTGTTGATGGGAGGAGGTAGGACGTCAGCGCAGAGACAGCTGCTTGCTCCCAGAGCTTCTGGTCGGTGGTGAGTCAGAGAGGAAGAAGCCTGGGGTGAGCCAAGGGTAGGATTGAGAGCCCGGGAGTCCCCTTCTCTTGCTTTTCTCCTCCCTTTCTGACTCCTTCCTAAGCTGACTCTCTGTCCACAGACAAGTTGATCTTTCTTGTTCCGTTCTTACAGCTTTCCATTCTGTCCCTCATCCATCCCCAAGACTCTAGCTAATAGCACCTCCAGGCCAATCACTACCAAGGGTACACACTCAGCCCAGTTCCTCTGCAGAGTTCCAGAACTATGCTCTCAGCTCTTTTGTGATTTCACACCTGGAAATTCAAACTAAAGGTCCAGGCCTCCCTAAAACCTTTCTAGCCTGGGCCCACCCTCAGGGCTACTTGTTGCTCTAGCTCTGCTAAGTGGTTCAGCTGTCTACCCACCTCCCTGGTTCTTGCCTCCTCCCAAGTCCCATGATCATTTAATTATAGATAAAATAATGAACACTGTGCAAAAATTTAAAAGGGAGCAGTGGACTTATGATGGCAAATAGCATTGATAGATGACATAACTGAACTAGAAAAGTCCTATTTTTGAAACACTATTCTTCGTTTATGTGAAATATTGTGAGGTTATATGAAAGAATTAATGGTTGAGATATTTTCTTAATGGAAACACATACATTCTAAAGAAAAATGGAGTATATGGGGGAAGGGGACCCCAGACATCAGGAGCTCAATATGTACATATTACGGTTATCCTTTTTTTGTCAATTTTTTCATTGGGTAATAGGTCACTTGCTATCTCAGAGTCACAGTCTTCTCACCTGCCAAATAACTGTACAAGTTAATATTGTCCCTACCCAGCTCACAGGAACATTTCATTATAAGAGCAGGAGGCAGGGGGTATTATTATCAGTAGTATCAGGGAAGAAATAGATTAATTTTTAAAAAAAGATTACCAAGAAATATGTCAAGAAAATCAAGAACCAGGTGAAGGGTTTAATATTGGACTTCTATTGATATTACTCATTATTGTAAGACAGCAAAGACATCATACAATTAAGAAAGATACCTAAAGTCATTTGAAAATAAATCAACACCAATTTTTGCTTTTAAAACCTCTTATATTAAAAAAACATACAAAAAATGTTTTAAACATATCAGCTTTACTTTCCTTAACATCTGCCTTCCTCAGCTGGTAACATTTTCTGCATGGTCTTCTTAGCCATACAAACAAGAGAAGCTTCAAAGGCCCATGCTTTTGAAAATGATTTCTCCCATTTTTAATAAAGGTTACAAAAACGCTTTTCAGCAATAACAAGCGTGAAGGGATGGGGTTTGAAATAGAGCTTCATTGTCCGAGGCGATATAGAAGGCTTGTGCTTGCTACAGTGTTTTCTTTGGGTGGATATTAGTAGCCATGGCCTTTATTTATTAATGTACAGTCTGGAATCAGAAATGCTATTTCCAATAATAACTGGGTGAAAGAACTTTCACTCTGAGGGCAGGGCCAACCAAGCTCTGCAGGCTGGAGGCAGGGGCCCAACATGAATTTTGATCTATCTTTTTCTAAGGGAAATTGACAGCAGACATTCCTATCTCTTTCTAACAAATCAAGCTGAATATAATTAGGACACAAAAGCCAGTCATTCGGCTCTTCCACCCCTGGCCTTTCCGGCAGCTTCCGTGCTATGGAATGAATGCTGGCAGCCCTGAATCATTCTCAAGTCACAGGGAATGCTCTGCAGTCAGAAAGGCTTATGTTTGTGTCTGCTTCCTTCAGTGCAAGAGTGATTTGTCTGGGTTCTGAGCTGGAGAGTCACAGGGCATTATTTTTGAAAGGGGTCTGAGTAGCCCTGTCTAGACCAGTGGCTTTCAGCCCTAACTGAACATTAGAATAACTATGGGCCTTCTTAAAGAGCTAACGATGTCCAGGCTACACCCTAAAAGAGTCTAATTTGGTTGATTTGGTAAGAGGTCTTGGCTTTCCTTACTTTGAAAAGCACCCCCAGGTGATTCTAACACATAAATACCACAGTTAGAAATACCACTACTACCTTTAGCATAATCTTTCCATTAAATGAGCAAATGCTGATGCAAACAATAAACCAGGTGATTGCAGATCTCAGTGATTTACAAGGAGTTCCCAGCTAAGTTTTCCAAAACTCAATGCCTCAGGAAAACACTGGGCCATCTGACTCTAGGAGAAAATAAATACCACTTTACTTTACACCATTAATTTAAAAATCAGATCTATTTCAATCCATAAAGGTTTAAATGTTAACTTGCAGAAAATGAATGTGGTATGGTACAAATAAATTTTGCATGAAAAGATAAAAATTATCTTTGTTCATTGAAGAAGACATACCCGGGGGTCATATGACATTAACTGCCCTTTGGAACACTAGCAAGTTTTATTTTTAAGTCAGTAAATTTATTCCAGTATGAATTTTCCTCTCTTTTTCTCTCCCCTGTTTTTTCCTCTCCCTTTCTCCCCTTTCCTTTTTCTATCCCTCCTTCTAATAGGTCATTTGCCTTCTTTTGTCTCATTTTTATAACTAACTTTAGTGTCTTTCCAGTTATCTCATTAATGAGAAATAAAACTTTGACTTGCTCCCCAACAAGTTAAGTAAAAATTGTGATTATGAGAATTATGCTTCAGCACTAGAAAATGATGCAAACTTTATGAGGGGATCTTTAAAAATTCAGAGAGCTTTAATTGGTCTGTCCAGATGTAATTTACTATGTGCCAAAAATATTCCTCAGCCATATTTGAAACTATAAAATTGCAAATTTCCACTTCTGGCAAAGAGGCTTCACAAAGACCTACCAGGGTCTCTTTGAAAAACTTAAAAATAAATGGGCAAGATATGATGGGTTTTGACAGCAGGATAGGGACCCTTGAGGAAAGAAAAACAAATTATCTGAACTCCCTGCTAGTCCCTACTTTCTGCCTGAAATGTTTCTTCCAAGACACAGAGAGGAGGTCTCCTTGAGTTGAGGAGGTGTAACTGGAATTACAGGACACCAGGGCAGAGTTCTCAGGACTATGAGAGAGGACATGGCTGCACAGACAGCTGAGAAGAACGAAGAACCCTAGTTAAATTTTCAGCCAGCATTTGAACAGGATCTAGAAGGAGGAAAACCACCTAAAGCTGATGGAGAGTTAGAGGAAATAATACTTCTTACTCACATAGGTGGGCAATGACTCAGGTTCCCATCAGCCAGAGTAGAAAACCTCTTGTCTCAGAGCTTACTGGGTATAGAATCCTAAATAAGGGAGAAAATTAACCTTAAAGTAAACTCTGATCTAATTTTAATTCATAAAGCTTTAATATGAAGCCCAGAAGAATCAAACCATAGACTAGGACCAACACTAAAATACTTATGGAAATATGAAAATAACCACCGGACAACAAGTAAAAATTTACAACATCTGGTAAATTACCAATTCTAATCCAAGATTACCAGTTATCTAAAGAAGCAAGAAAATATAACAAAACATTAACACCAAATAACAGAGATGTTAGAATTGGTGGACAAGGGCAGTTATTATTATTCTATATGTTCAGGAAGGTGGAAGGAAGATTAAACATGTTAATGAAATATATTTAAAATGACTCAACCAGAACTTTATTTGATTAAGTGCCTGAAATCCAAGGTAAACAGTGAGTCACACCTGAATAAAGTAGATTCGTGGCAAAGGCACAGCAACCTCACCCATCTCTGGATGAACCAGGAGTGGGAAAAATTGAAAACAGAGCATTCAGGATCTTCAAGTAGTTCAGTGTTGTAGACTATTATTTTAAGGTGTGTTAGGGCCTATCAACAGGTGCTGTCAAAGGTCCTAGCCAATGAGGAGTGACCACATGATGTCTGCCTGGGTGCAGGAAGTGTATATAAGTACCCTGCCCCCATTGTCTGCCTTTCACTGGACTCCCAGTGCTGTGTTCATTGAAGCTGCACGGTCTCACCCCTCCCCCGAGGAAGACATTAGGGTCCAGTTACATCTGGCATATGAAGCAGGTATTTCTAGCATAGGTTTTGAGCTCACCTGGTTAGAGTCCTCTCTTTCATTGAGGCTGTAACTTGCCCAGAACAGGTTCTAGTTTCCCTCTCCTCACCTGTGGTGCTGGAGTTCCCCCAGTGCAGTTTAATTTTAGTGAGAAGGCCCCCCAGTCCCTTTGGCAGGTAAGCCTCGGGACCCCCATTCTTTCCTTCTTTTGTGTTTTCTGTCAGGTTTGTCTCCCCATCCAGTTAGGAAGGCACATTTTTTTTTCCTATTACACAATTTCTCACCCCTGTTGGCTATTGTCTCCTTCTACAAAATGGGTAACTTCTTTACCTCCACCGCTTCCATGTCTGATCTTTCTGTGCCCAAGGAGAAACAGAGAGCTCAGGCCTCAAGGGGCCTGCTGTGGACAGTGCCGCCAGAGTTAAGACTGCAAGAGCTGCTTCCCAGTCAGCTCCATTTCAGCCCTTGGAGGCGACACCTTCGCTGCAAATTCCCTTGCAGAGAAGCCTTGGAGTGAAGTGTCACAATGTCACCTGCCCCAGAAGGCAGAAATTCCCTTGTGCTGTGGTGTGACTCCCAGCAGCCTTCCTGTCCCCAGGCCTCCAGGCCAGCGGATGCCTTCATGGAAGTTTCCCACCACCTTAGCTGAACTCTCCCTTAAGGCTGTGCTGCAATGGGCCACCTTTCCTACGTGGAAATTTGTTTAAAGAGATCAAGCAAAAGCTCAAGCACAAACAAGCCTCTGAATTAATGTTGCAGTCACATGCTCACTGGATGAGGTAACTTTGTTAATTGAATCCACCAGCACAGATTGACCATCAAGATTACTATCAACAGGGTTCTGACCTGGCCTTCAAGGCTCTTAAGGTTGCAGCATTCACTAGCTTACATCTGCCACCTTATTCAAGAGCCAGGGGAATTTCTAACTGGTTGTCTTTCCCATGTCAATGAGGCATGGAGCAGAAAGTAGGCAGTAGGGAAATGTTAGTCAAACAATTGGTTTGGAAAGGGTTTAATGTCCCCACCCACTATGTGGTTGCACTGGTCTACAATGAGTACATTCACAAGTGGGTTTGGTCACAAGGGGTCTTTTTTTAAAAAAATTGCTTTTATTGAGCTATATATTTTTCCCTGGTCCCCATGCTCCCAATTTACTAAGGAGATCTTGTCTTTTTCTACTTCCCATGTAGATTAGATGGGTCCTCTTTGTTGCCTAGGTTCTCTGGGATTGTGAATTGTAAGCTTTTTTTTTTTCTTTTTTTATGTCTAAATGCCACTTATGAGTGAGTACATATGATATTTGTCTTTCTGGGTCTGGGTTACCTCTCTCAATATGATGTTTTTTAGATCCACCTATTTGCCTGCAAATTTCAAGATGCCATTATTTTTTTCTGCTGTGTAGTACTCCATTGTGTAAAAGTATCACATTTTCCTTATCCACTCTTTGGTCAAAGGGCATTTAGGTTGTTTTCAGGTTCTGGCTATGACAAACAATGATGCTATGAACATAGTTAAGCACATGGCCTTGTGGTATGATTGAGCAACTTTGGGGATATACCCAAAAGTGGTTGCTATGGTAAAAGTAAAACAGCATTGTTCCCTGAGTGGCCTGTGGGCCACAAGGGGCAGCAGATCCCAGTCAGGGAGCCATGTGGCTGGTGAGAGACCTCAGAGGGACAGTCAGTTCGCTGAGGAGCCACAGCCACAGCAGGTGAGAGACAGACAGATAGACATGCCATGGAGAGTAAGGTTGGATATTTGTTTAGTGGGTTGTGGATTGGAAAGGGAAAAGGAGGAAGGAGAAAGGGAGAAGAGCAGAGAGGCAGAGAGAGAAACAGAAACGGGGGTGGGGGAGAGGAGCCTTGGTAGCAGCAACCTCTTTGGGAGAGAAATGGGAAGGAAGGGACTCAGGCTAAAAGCAGAAGTTCTGCTTGCCTCAGCAGATTGGGGAGAGAGTGGGCAAGGCTTGTCTCTTAAAGGGACAGGACAGACCATTACATTCCCATCTCTGTTTTATAATAAAAAAAAAAAAAGGAGGTTAGGCACCACAAGTTAAAAGAATTAGGACAGTAGAGTCTCAAGACCACTTCATGCTTATTTGTGTGCATTGTCTTGGGGAGAACCTTAGAAAACTGGGTGCTGATCACATCCTGGGGTAACTGGTCTTTTTGCTCCTGTCTTGTTTTTTTGTGGTATAGAAATATCTGGTGTCTCTTATACTTGTTTAAGGTATTGGCAGAACAGAGAATAAGGTTAAGTTTAGGGAAAAAAAAATTTAGGACCAGGGAATTGAAAAGAGTATATCTGACCTGTTTAAGGTGGATCCTTCAATTTTGCTCCCTGGAACTCACAAGAATTCTTTGGGTTTATGAAAATTTAAACAGCAGCATATTTATATCAGAATGACTGTGACAGATATTTTTGCATAATGAAAAGTATCCTTAAGATTATGAAAGGCAGCATGAGAGAGAAATTTGGTAGTATGTGCTTGTCCTCACACCTTTATAACTTGCAGGTACATGCCTTAATAACTTGTATTTGTATTTTGGTGGAATTTGTTTGGTGAGGATGTCTTTTTATATGACAAAACCTCTCAGCTGTCAAACTGCATCAGAAATCTTGGAGAAGGATACAATTTTATGTATTATTGATTAAAAAAAAACAACAGAGAACTTACTTGGTTGGCATCTAGAGCTACTCCTCAGGGTCCTCCATGGTCTCTGAGGGTCTTTTTTTTTTTTTTTTTTTTTTTTTTTTTTTTTTTGCTGTTTAGTGTAGGGCCTTCCAAGCTCTAGGAGATCCTGTGGGCTAAGAAATCTGTAGAAAGACAAACCTACCTTGACCTGAGCATCTAGGCTGTTGGTTCCAGAGATTCTATCCACTGTCTGGAGATCTTCAGTTTAGATGAAAGGTGGTTTTTCCCAGTGGTCAGCGCTTGGCAGTTGAAGTGAACTGTGGATGGACGTTGTTTTGTGCCCATTTGTCTTCTGTCTTCTTTGAAGGAAATAGAGTACTGCTGCTAGGAGCCAACCTGTTTCTTTTGTTACAAAAAGTTTTTTTTTAATAATTAAATATATAAATGCTGTATTCACCAGATCTCTGAGAAGTTGAGGGTTGTTTATCAGGTATAACTACAATATAGAATCTGCTCGGAGAGCTGGGTCCAAGTTTGACTGTACTGGCTTTCACCTTAACAGGTAAGATTTAGAAAGACAGAAAAAAGAAAAAAAAACTGCTTGCAATAGAAGATTAATAGCAGAACTGACAATAATAGAGAACAGCTTAATATATTTTAAATCAGCGTTGGATTAAATATACCATGTTTTTGTAAGAGAATTAAAAGTACACACCAGTTTAAAACATGAGACTTATTATTTTGTAGTCTGAAATGAGATACAATGAACAGACAACTATAACATTTAACGGTAAACATAGATGTATTTAAGTTACATGTATGTACATATACGCACACACACAGAGAGTGAACAGGAATTGGGCGAAGTGGATACTCTTGGTGGGCCCTACCAAAGGCATGCCACTGCACAAAACACACATGCAGCAGAGTCAGCAAGAGGAATTTAGAGACAAAAACATAAGTAAAACAGGGGACCAGGCAGGGTATACCTCAGTAAAGAGGGCGGGACTTGGTCATTTGACCTGGCTCTCAGTTAAGATGGTGGTGAAGTCACTTGACCTCAGCTAAGATGGTGGTAAGGTCACCTGACCTCAGTCAAAAATGGCACCAGCCACATGTTGTATGGAAGAGAGACCTAGAGGTGTGATCCACCCCATTGCCGAGCCACCTTGCCACAAGCCAGAGCAGGGAGCAAAAGGCTGGAATTGAACGCAGCCACCTTGTGGATCTGACTAATCTTGTTGGCAGGGACAGTGTGAGAAAAAGTGGAGCTGGTGGGACACTGGCAGAGTGTGGGTGTATACCATAGCTGAAAACTTAAAAACGGTGGTGAACACCACAGGGCATGTGGAAGAGCATCCTCTCTTTACAGGTGGGTGTTAGAGCCTGACTGGCTCCAGTTCTGACAACTTGGAAGCCAGAGAGGCTTGGAAGGCACTCCAAGTGATCTCTCACAGCAGGGACCACTGACGAGTGGTCCAAAAGAAAAGAAAAGAAAACGAAAGGAGAAAGAAAAATCCGAGGGATCCTGGGCCCCCAGTTGAATGCACCACACAACGTGTGCAATGCTAGCACAGGAGGACTGACCCCGGTTCATCCCGTCATGTTATTAGCAACATAAAGCAACCAGAGATAAATGTTAGTTAGGAAAGGGCTTAACCGTAGCAGTGAAGGCTGTGGTTAGGGGCTAGAAGGGGAAAACTCACCACCAAAGCTGTTGGTATGTGTAGAGGTTGGCGTTCAGGCAGATAGAATGCAGAGCTGTTGTAAAGAAACCTGGTCCCAGAGCTCAGGGTTCCACGTGTCCTCAGCCAGCCCACCCGTGAGCAGGAGGAAACATGAGGAGCCCGGCCAAGTCATAAGCACCATGGTGAGGGGGAAGGGAAGAAGAGAAAAGAGCAGAGGAGAGAGAGAGAGAGAGAGAGAGAGAGAGAGAGAGAGAGAGAGAGAGAGTTGGTGGGGAGAGGAGCCGTGGCAGCAGCTACCTCTTTGGGAGACAGACAGAAAGGAAGAGACTCAGGCTAGAAGCAGAAGTTCTGCTTGCCTCAGCAAATGGGGAAGGGAGTGGGTGGGGCTTGTCTCTGAAAGGGACAGGACAGACCATTACAGTGGTATTGCTGGGCCTTGAGGTAAGTTGTTTCTTAATTTTCTGAGAAACCACCACACTAATGTCCAAAGCATCTGTACCAGTTTGAATTCCCAGCAGCAATGGAGGAGTGTTTCCTTTACCCCACATCCTCTCCAACATAAGTTGTCATCAGTGTTTTTGGTCGTAGCCATTCTTACAGGTAAAAGATAGAATCTCAGAGTTGTTTTGTTTTGCATTTCTCTGATGGAGAATGTTGAGCACATCCTTAAGTGTCTTTCAGACATTTTATGTTCCTCTGTTGAGAGTTCTCTACTTAGGTCTGTACCCCCTTTTTTTTTTTGGCTGGATTATTCTTTTGGTGACCAATTTCTTGAGTTCTTTGTATATTTTGAAGAGCAGTCCTCTGTCCAATGTGGGGTTGGTGAAGATATTTTCCCATTCTGTAGGCTGCTGTTTTGTCTTGTTGACCATGCCCTTTGCTTTATAGAAGCTTCTCAGTTTCAGGAAGTCCCATTTATTAATTGTTTCTCTCAGTGTCTGTGCTACTAGGGTTTTATTTAGGAAGTGGTCCAGTGTACTTCCCACTTTTTCTTCTATGAGGTTCAGTGTCATAGGTTATATGTCTGAGGTCTTTGATCCATTCGGACTTGAGTTTTGTGCATGGTAGTATGGATCTATTTTCATTCTTCTACATGTTGATATACAGTTATACCAGCACCATTTGTTGAATATGCTTTCTTTTTTCCATTTTATGTTTTTTTGCTTCTTTGTCAAAAATCAGGTGTTTGTAGGTGTGTGGATTGATTGATATCTGGGTCTTTGATTCAGTACCATTGTCCTCCTGTCTGTTTTGATGCCAATAGCAGGCAGTTTTCAGTACTGGAACTCTGTAGTAGAGTTTTTAATCAGGTTTTGTGATGCCTCCCAAAGTTCCTTTGTTTTCCAGGATTGTTTTGACTATCCTGGGTATTTGCTTTTCCATATGAAGTTGAGTACTTTTCTTTTGAGGTCTGTGAAAAATTTTGCTTGGATTTTGATGGGCATTGCATTGAATCTCTAGATTGCTTTTGGTAAGATTGTCATTTTTACTATGTTAATTCTACCTACCCAAGAGCATGGGAGAGCTTTCCATTTTCTGGATGCCTCTTTGATTTCTTTCTTCAAAGATTTAAATTCTTGTTTGGATAGATTTACTCCAATATATTTTATATTATTTGTGACTATTGTGAAGGGTGATGTTTTATGATTTCTTTCTCAGTCCATTTATCATCCGTGTAAAGGAAGGCAACTGATTTTTTTAGTTAATCTTATATCATGCTACATTACCAAAGGTGTTTATGAGTTACAGAAGTTCCTTGGTAGAATTTTTGAGGTCGCTTATATAAACTATCATATCATCAGCAGATAGTGAGAATTTGACTTCTTCTTTTCTGATTTGTAGCTCCTTGATCTCCTTTTGTTGTCTTATTGCTCTAGCTAGACCCTCAAGAACTATATTGAATAGATATGGAGAGAGTGGGTAACCTTATCTCGTTCCTGATTTCAGTGAATCGCTTTGAGTTTCTCTCCATCATCTCATTAGATACTGAAAAAGCGTTTGGCAAAATTCAACATCCCTTCATAATAAAGGTCTTAGAAGAGCAGGGATACAAGGAACGTACCTAAACATAATAAAGGCAACATACAGAAAGCCAACAGCCAACATCAGGCCACAAGAGATCTTGACCCCAGTAATGGTTCCATTGCTGCCTTCACTGCTTCCCTAGATACTTTCCTTGCAAACAGACATCATGCTGAGGCTACACTCAAGGTTCCCCAAATAGATAGATCTTGCTGGGGATGCAGAAAACCAGTCCATCTGTGTCACGACTTCCACCAGGCAAATCCTAGGACCCGATGCTCCAGATGCAATAAGAGATTTCATTGGGCAAAGGATTGTAGATCACAGACCACCAAAGCACCTTCTTATTTAAACTCCGGGTGGGATACTCTTCAGCTCTGCCAGTAAGAGGATGCTCTGGCAATCCAAAAATATATTGGACACTGCCCATTTTTCTATGTTCCCCAATGCTGACCATCTATCTTGATGGACAAGCTGTCAGAGGCTTGGTTGACATGGGTGCAAAAGTCAACATACTAACATAAATGGAGGCACTCTGCTTTCCACATTGGAAATTTAGACTTGGCTCTCCCATTAATGGAGTAGTAAGCCAACAAGATTCAAAACTTACCACCCGTCTGGTCCATTGGAAAGACCAGTACTAGAAAACCACTGAGGCAGAGACCTCTTGGAGGTATGGATGCTGTCCTCACTATTAATGATAGAGTTTGCTTTGATGACTTTCAGGTCCATGAAAAGACAAGTTTGACAAATCACAATCCTGCGCATGAGTAGCAACCCCAATTCTAAGTGCTCTGTCTCTCAGAAATCCACCTAGATTGAGCCTCCTAGCCCCATTCCATTGGCAAGGCTCTTGAATCAGGATGTCTGGGTGAAACAGTGACCTATAGTTGAACCCAACCTGTCAACCCTAATAAAGGAATTAGTTTCAGAACAGCTAAAGGGAGGTCACATAGAACCAACCACAAGTAAATATAATATCCCCATATTTGTTATGGATACCATCAAAATTATTAATGATTCAAACAGGAGAGATCTCTTTATCAGGAGAAGTGACAGTTTATCTGAGGTGGCAATTTAATATGTTGAAAGTAAAAACTCACCCAATTAGGGTTGGGGCAGGGTTTTTCTTTTGTCTTTACAGGAGAATAAAAAGAATAAAAATATCAATCTTAAAGACATCAAGGATGTCTGAGGAGATAGACATCTAAAGAAGAAGTGAGAACTGTCCAGAAAACAAATTACCAAGAAAAGAAACAATCTACCATAATGATTTAATTACTTTCTACAGGGTAATATCTCTTTACCTTTTGAAATATTTGTTGTCCCCACTCAATGATAAATCAAAACTGACTTTGGAGTTGGAATGTGGCTCTCTCCTTCTCTAAACCTAAAAATGTTCCTAAAAGAAAATTCAGAGTCTCTGAGAGCCACCTGGTATGGAATGGAAGAAAATCCGATCTAGGGACTATTGTTGTCACAGATTTCTTTCCCTCAAATCTGTTTTACTCTTTTAAAATTCAGCTTTCCATTCTGATAATAATAATGTTTAGGTTTTCTACAGTGAATAATAAATTTTCCTAACAGCAATCTCTGAAGTCTCCCAAAGGATGATGTGATCCCACAACAATTCTACTTGGATCACAATTAGTTCCATTGGCCAACATTTCAGTTTCTTCAGGATATCATTGCCCCCAAACAACAGGAGGTAATTTTGGGGATGATGCTCACATTCCTAAGACTTGGGAGAATGGAATTGGGTCAGTTGTTCAGTTATGGATGCTTGTCATCATTTTGGGGGGCTTTTTATTAATTGTTACTTTGAAAAAAAGAGGAAAAAGAAAGGAAAAGGAGGAGGATATAGGAATGATATAGTATGAAAGGGCAGATTGTTGAATATATTTCAAATAATAGGGTAGATTATTGAATCTATCATAAACTAAGGGACAATTATTTATCTCAAATAATTTGTATTTATAAGGATTGATACAAATTTAAGGTAACTTTTGTCACAACACATTGTATATATATTTTGACTTTTGTTTAATGTTATTTTGTTGCACTGTATATGTTTCTACTCTTGTCTAAAGGGTTTTTGTAAATTGATACAAATTTAAGGGTGTTTTTGTTACTGCATATTGTATATGAGTTTCTCCTCTTGTTTAAGGAATTGTACCTATGCAGTCATTTTAAAATGTAAGGTAAATTTCTAGTTTTTGAAGGCTATTATTATAAACTATACAGGACAATCAAGAAACATAGGTCAGTAGTTAGTCATCTATAACAATCAAATTTGTAGATATGTTAGGTATGTTTTCTAGGGTAAATAGATACATTTTAGACAGATGGTCTTCAAATACTGTCAAGCTGCCAATATAGGGAGGACAGTCTTTCAAATTTCCTGCTGTTGAAGAAAGGCTGTTTGTTGGTTCCCAGCTGCTCAGCCCCTAAATACTTACACATACACTATATTATAGAAATCACTGCTTGGAGCTACAGTACTGAAAACAGCTTGGTATTGGCATAAAAACAGAGAAGTCGACCAATGGAATCTAATAGAAGACCCTGACTTTAACCCACAAACCTATGAACAACTGATTTTCGATAAAGGAGCTAAAAGTATACAATGGAAAAAAGAGAGCATCTTCAACAAATTGTGCTGGCAAAACTGGATGTCAATCTGTAGAAGAATGAAAATAGACCCATATCTATCACCATGCACAAAACTCAAGTCCAAGTGGATTAAAGACCTCAATATCAATCCAAACACACTGAACCTGATTGAAGAGAAAGTGGGAAGTACTCTACAACA